ATCTTTTTAAAATAAGCTATCAACACTTTGTTTCTTAGATACTAAGCAGATAACATATTCTACAATATGATTTAAACTTCAAAAAACAACCGTTTGAAGCAGACAGTTGAAGAGTTTTTATATTTGACACATACTCTACGTGTCAGGAACAATGTGTCTAAAATAATTTCCTGCTCCCCCCATCTTGCTATAGAATTTACTTAATTATACTTAATTATCTACCAGGGACCTTTACTATTCAGACCAAAGGCTTTTGCAATTAAACCAAAGATTACTAGCTTTTCATTTTTTACATCTTTAGGCAGTATTTCACCTTTACATACCTAATAAAAACATCTGGAAACGCAACTACTCTTCCGATGTCAAACAGCAAATAATTACGCAGATAAAGAGTTAATAAAGTTTTCAAGGTCTGCTAATGAATTCTGAAGTTCATCATTCATATTGTGACTTCTGAGAAATTTCTTAAGAGTGTCTAAAGCAATTATTGCTTCATGTTTTGATGGTAAAGGCAGTGCAGTTTCTAGGGCTCCTCCGTCCTCCTCCTCCTCCTCGTCAGAAGTGTAAAATCCAGCCTCATCTGGTTTGCTTTCTTCGGTGTCTTCTGAGTTGTCATCTGCTGCTGCCTCACAGGTTTCCAGGTCCTCATCCAGGGCTGCATACTCCTCTATGGACAAGCCTTCTGGAAATTCCACTCCTGTCCCCAGTGCGTGGGCAACCAGATCAAGACCACTGGTACTCTGTCCATCTGCTGGGTCATGTTCCTCCTTCTGAGATTTGAATCCTGCTTCTTCATAGCTTCTGACAATAGTCTCTGTGGTTACGCTCCTCCAGCAGAGATGCAACGTGTCAACTGCATCTAGCAGTGAAAATGTAAACTCTGTGCTACTTTCAACGGAGTTTAAAAATTTCTTGATGAGATTGTATCTATACTTGATTTTCAGGCTTTTAATAACACCTTGTTTCATGGCTATAAATTTGGAAGATAAAAATGATGGAAAGAACGCTAATTCAATGGATTTTAGGTTCTTGACCTCTGGATGTGCAGGAAAAGAATCAACAAAAATCACCACTCTTCGTTGCTGGGCTTGAAATTTTTCATCAAGCTTCTGCATCCATTGTTCAAATATATCTGAGGTCATCCATGCCATTCTGTTAGCTTCGTAATACACAGGCAATGATTTTATATCTTTGAAACAATGTGGATTTCTGTTTTTTCCAATGATAAGCAAGGGAAGTTTCTCTGAGCCATCCATGTTTGCACCAACAAGCAAAGTTATCCTGTCTTTGCATAATTTTCCAATTGAACATGTTTCTCCTTTAAATGCAAATGTATTCGTAGGCAACATTTTATAAAGCAGTGCCGTCTCTTTTATATTAAAAACATTTTTAGGATGATAATCATTTAAATAATAAGGAAGCACATTTTGGGACCACACAGTTGAAGGATCTACTGGTATACCTGTGGCTTCCGCAGATTGAGCTCTGAATACTAAGCCGTACCTAGATTTAAAACGATCCAGCCAACCATTGCTGCACTTAAAGTCATTGTGTCCCAGTTTCTGGGCAAAATCATTAGCTTTTAGACGCAACATTGGACCATTAACTGGTACATTTAGACACTGAGCAATTCGATACCACCGCATTAATGCCTCTTCCAGATCTGTATAAAAAGCAGTTCTCAGTCTTTTTCTTTTTGGATCAAATCTCAGAGATTCAAAGGCTTCTAGAACTTTGTCTTTATTTTTCATAATAGAAGACAATGAGTTTTTCTTTATTCCATATTCAGCTGCGATTTCTGCTTTTTTCTTGCCACTTTCCACTGCATTTATGATGTCGATCTTTTCCTCAATGGACAGACTCTTCTTTTTCTTCACTGTTCCAGGCGGAGGTGAGGCAACGCCAGGAGCTTCTGCCATCTCAACCAGGGCAGAGGCCGTGATTTCTCCACTTGCTGCCAAGGGGCTGTTTCTCTAAACCTGTTTTTTTAGTATGACACAGACTTTTGCTTTTTATCTTACTTCATGTATCAAAAGTTGAGAATGTCTAATAGTTTCATTTCTCAGAAAGCTAATAACTATATTTTTTCAAAACGATTTGAAGGAGAAAAATGTTATATACAACTAGAATGTCTTAGAAGAGAAACTTCTTTCTCAGACCTTGTGCAGCTCAGTTTATGGTGTATTCAGTTCCAGAAATCAAGCTAAAATAGAAATCTCATTATGCCAAACCTGTCCAGTCCTGCTGATGTATTTTTGGAACTGCAATCCTTTAAGATGATCCATTTTATCGATGCACGCATTCAACCTCCTAGTAATTCTCCACAGAAGGCCTTCCAGATAAGAAAAGACATTCAAAAAATTTCATGGGAAAGGTTATCCATTAATTTTCAAGCCTCTTCAAGGGTAAAGAAGAAATGGTAGAATCCTTCTAGAACTTGCCAGTGTATCTTCTTTCTCTCTTAAAAGTGTTTTAGAAAAAAAGCAGTTTTAGTAATATGCTAATCAAATGTCAAAAAGAATGCATATATATATTTCAAGTATAATATTCTTAATACCAATGAAAACAATGAGATAATGTTTCTACAAATACAATAACCCAAATTCCTAGGAGAAACGCTTACCCCCTGAAGGACCTCTCCGTAAAGATTCTCTAGCTCTTCTCTGCATCTGAATTCCCACTTGCCTGTGAATGCTTTCTAATATATACTTCTAAAACAAATCAGACAAATTCAATCTGTTTTTAAAGTGTGG